AATAATAAGAAATCTAGCTTGTTTCCCCAGGTCATAGCAGTAAGTTATTTATAATTTTGGTCACTGTATTTTTTTCTAACAGCATAACCATTTGTTCTTTTTATATTCATTTACCTGTCTCCTGAGGCTGTGTATGTTTTAGGATTCTGTTTCTTGCCTTTAAAAGGCCACTAAGTTGCATGGAATTCACTGAAAGAGTTTACTTGTGTAAAATATCGTACAACTTGGTTAAGTTGTTTTGTGCTGATTTACTTCTTGCTATGCCTGACGTCTGTAAGATTGATATGTACAAATGAGGACAAGCTCATTACTCTCATGGATATGGATCATCTGAGTAAGTAAGAAAATGACTCAAAGGCAAGGAGCAATTTTGTACCTCACCACTGTGACAGTGAGCAATTTGTATTTTGGGGATTTTGAATATCATCTTGTGTTTCTGAGACCCCAGTGTCTGTTCTTGTAGTTGTATGTTGTGAAGGAGTGTGTACATGTTACTGCAGTGCTGCCTGAGTGATAAAATCAATGTATCTAGACATTTTTTGTCTCATTTTTACTTATTTTAACAGTAATACATTATTCTAATTTGGTGGTGTTTTACAGCCATCTTGCATTTTGCTTTTGAAAGCTAAGCAGCAGCAAAAGCTGAGCATAGAAAGTTAAACCCAGTGACTGTGCTAAACATCTTTTACTCAGGCTATTCTACCTGGTTACATCAGATCTGATTACATCTGAGCCTAGTCACCCTGTTGTTGTGTGCCATTCAGTTTTGAGCTCCTGTTGTTCTTTGTGTTCTATGTTTGTAGAAGAAACCATTTTGGAAAGGTGCCTTTGGCTGCTGAGGGCAAAGTAGCGAAACTGCATTCAAGTGTGCAGTGTATTAGATGCCCACCAACTTGCCACGTTACTTTGAAGTCGAATTTCCAAGAGTCTGAGAGTTGTTTTATGGTTTGATTATTTTTATCCAAGGATTCTGTGCTTTGTTTTCTTTTTCCTTTGGGAATAGTTCTCTAGCTCTGTTTCAGGCCAAGATTAGAAGAAGAATGGAGGGTTGATTCCTCCATTCCTCCTTTTGTTACAGCTAATAGTGTCTGCCTGCCCCACAAATGTGAGGCCGTCCTAATTTGTAGCTTCTTAAACAAGTGTGAGCTTAGGTGGAATTCCACAAATGGAATACATCCGTTTGTGACAGAATGTTGATCCCCGAATTTTGGAACAGTTGTCACAGAAAGGCAGGTGGATTGTGTTTGCTTTTCTTTTGGGGAATTGGTTTACTTAATTAAAATCTTGGCTAAAACAGCAGAATTTAAACAATCACTTTATTTCCCACAATGTTGGCTCATTGACTGATTGGATGGCAGAACAAGACCTGGATATTTAAAGGAAGTGGAAGAAAAAATGGGTCCTCTCACCAGTGGGTTTTATTATAAAAGGAATCTTTTTTAACGTATTCACAACTTGTACTGCCCACTGTCATGAAGGTCTTGGAAGAAAAATGAGGCATTTTCAAAGAAGATTTTATTTTGTCCAAGCAGAAGTATTTTAAGATAAAGTCTGAAATACTAGCATTGCTGAAGGAAATTAGTAACTAAAAATAATTAACATTTCCTGCTTAGCCAAATTTGGTAACTTTTCTGGTAAGTTTGACTTTCAATTGTGCACTTGTCCAAATATTTTATATTTCATTGCTTTTCTTGTCTGCCACTTGTACATCCACCTAAGATGTTTATCTTATTGTGTTGTTTTTAACGTACCCCAGGGAAAAATAAAGTAGGCTACTAGCCTTGCATTAAAAGCATGACTGATGGACCTATTTAAGCTCACAAAACCTCAGAGCATTTTCAGAGATGCATCTGAAATCAGAGTTTGACAGCCCAACTGTAATTCATTCTTCAGGTATTGGTGAAGTCTCAAACCAGAATTTAATGATCCACATGTTTCTACAGTTAAAACTATAATATTCAAGTACAGCAGTGTGAATTAAAGACTGAGTTTGAGCTCAATTTCTGCTTATGATTGAACAGATTTTTTTCATGCTGGATTAAAACTTAATCAGGCTGAGAAGGAAATTTGCCTGCTGGTGAAGGCAGTGTGGATCACTGAGCAGTACTAGGTTCATCTGTGTAGGAGACTACTTTCCTGGAGGCTAATCCAGTTCAGCTGAATGTGAACTGTCTGAGGACCTTATCTTTCAATTACATTCTTTGGCCTTACCCCCTGAAAAACACATGTAGTTCATACTCAGTATCAAAATCTTTCACAGAAAATGAACTCCATATAGCAGATGGCACGCAAAGCCATAGTCCTGTGGCTTACTGGCACCTACAGTTCTGATAGCCCATTGCACTATTAGACTACACCTGTACTAGTAAATAAGATGCATAAGGACTTGTTTTCTGGCCCTAAAAGCAACTGGCACAGCATGGCTTATGTCCATATGGCTAAACCTTCTCCCCTCTGCAAACGGGTTGGCTTTATCTGTGCTGTCTGTTTGGAACAGCCATGGCTTGAGTTACCTCCTGAACCATAGTCTGGGCATTGCCTGGGAAAGTGCTAGTTGGCAGGGTGTCAAAGCTGGGCTGGAGGCTGCGTTCATTAACCGCTGTGGATAATTACGGACAGCGACTGAGTTAGTGGCCTGATCCTGCTGGGTTTACTAAGGTAGGTGTAGTAATAAACCCTGTGTAAGGACCATGTTGGAATCTCTGTGATACAGTAAAATAGTCTCCTAAAGGTAAATGCTTCATGGTCTACAGATGAGATTCAGTTAAGTGTTTCTTTGTATGTGTAAGCTTAACCCATTGTGTGTGACATCCAGCCCTTGATCAGAATAGAAACTTTATTAGTAGCCACGCTGTTTTTTGATGGTTCCTGTGTACAGGTGGGTAATGTACAGATAGTTGCTGTAGCACAGAGAATACAGAGCATGCAGGATCGGGTATCACTGAGCATTTCCAGCCTTTCTGCAGGCACTCTGTGACAGAACTGAGTGTACAGAACATGTGCAAAACTACCCCTGTAAGAGTTATGTAGACAGGTGCTGCTTTGAGACTTTACTCTCTTTATTCAGGAATTGATGTGGGGAAGGTAATATTAGCCAAAAAGTTCATTTAGAAGTGAGTTTCTGAGAAGAGAAGCTTGTCTCTTCCAGACACAAACTGCAGGTCTGGTTTTGCCAGGAGCAGGTGGCTGATGGGTACCCTGCAGCTCCTGGCAAGGCCTGAAGCCTCACAATAACTATTAGAACTCATTTGATACATCTAAATGGCAATGAAATGTCCAACTCTGATTACATTTTTAATGGAATTAGAAAAGTGTCTGAACTTCTTAGAATTTTTTTTTTCTGTCTAGGTATATTTCATAGCTGTGTCTTACCACCTTTGTTTGATAAACCTTTTAAACTTTTTGATGCTTCTTTTCTGTTGCCAGTTTGGAAGAAGCCCTGATATCACTTTATTGAAATAGAAATTGCAAGAATACAGGAGTGATCATGTGATAAATGTCACTCTTGCTTATACTGGATAATTTCCAGGCAACAGATTTCTGTCAGATTATGGCGTTTTAATGATGAAAATGCTAACACTTACTTATTCGCAGGAAACACTCGGTTTTTGAAAGAAGCCACCTGGGTCTAGGTGAATGCTATGTTCTAAACTGTTAGAGGGGGTATGGCTTATTTTTTCCTTTAAACTCAGCAGTGCTTAGTGGAGAGGTTGCACATATGAAAACCAGCATTCTTGTTGACTGCCTCAGCTTCTGCAGGTATCAGCCAAAGTAGGGGCAGAAGTAGAAGAGGGTATATTTGTAAGAAGTGCTTCTTTACTGGAGTTCTCTAAGGTGAAGTTTGGTAGCCTCTATAGAGGCATCAGGAGTTTGGCACAAAACCTGCTAGAGATAAGTGTAGACTCTCTTTAGCAATGACAGATGGTAGAACTGTTCAGTTTATTTGTTCACAGTTTACTGTCTAAAGCCTGTGAGTGGTATATTTGGTTAAAAAATGTGTGGGAGAGTGACAAAGATAAAGGTTGCTTTTCTGGAAAAGCATTGGATTGGATAATAGGACTGATAAAAGGAGGGAAGGAAGGAGTGGTAAGTAAGGATACTGCAGCGGGAGTGCAGTCTGGGAGAGAAGAGTGAGGGACAAAGACTAGGAGTCCTTAAGTTTAATAGGGATAGGAAGAAAAGATTCCTACAAGGATCCAAAGTCTGAGCAGGGTTGCTTCAGTCCAGGGAGGCACTGAAGACTGATGGTCTGAAAGTAAGACTGGATGAAAGGGACAATTGCTCTCCTCAATATTATTTTCAGTGAAGTTCCATAGCACCTTGCCTGTCTTCAGTTTAGGTTTTATGATCTGAGAAACTGGGGCAATAACAAGTAAGGAGAGGTTGTAAGGTTAGGGGACAGCATCTCCATCCTTGCTCCTCATTCAGTGACTTGAATAATTCACTGTTCACATTCCAGTCTGAGGTGCTTATTTGGAAAGGATTGTTTATAAAAGATGATGTATTAACTGTGCCTTCTTCTCATACATGTAACTGTGTATGGCTTATTGTTCTTTTCTATATATAATGATACTATACGTAAGTATTATTTCTAGTGGTGCTTGTGTAGAATTTTTTTTCCCCAGAGTCCAGTTCTTTATCTTTTTTTCTTTTTTTTATTGAATGATACCTTATTGTCTGACTGTTTCCATTGATTGCACCTGAATTACTTAATTAGGAAGTATATATACATGGACGAAAGGGATTTGATTCAGTTTTTCCAGAATAAGTTTTTGTATTTCTGTATTGCTAAAAGGACTCAGTTGCAAGATTGATTGCTATGGGGTTAGTATTGAGAAGTTGGTATAGATTTCATTCTAACTCGCAAGTCTGTTGCTATTTAGAATTCTTATCCAAGGAAAAACAAAGGCTAGTGAAGGTGGAAAAATCAATCCTGTTCTTCCTGGATTTTCACTGGGGGTTGTTTTTAACAGTTAATAACATTCCTTTTCTTTCCATAGGCAATGTTCAGTCTCTGCATGGTTGAAAGCGAAGCTGATGAAGTGAATTTGCATGGTGTCACAAGCCTTGGTTTAAAACAAGCCCTGGACTTTGCATATACTGGACAGGTACTGTACAGCTCTTCAAATTAAGACACACAAATGAAAGCAAACTGCAATAAAAACTGAAGATGACCTTTACAAAGGTACTAGAAATTATTTTTCTTGTGTACTGCCCTGTATGAGGTCTTTTGATTTAACAGATCTTACTTTGGATATGCTATTTTTTTCTCTATAGAGGGATTGTCTAATAAAAACACTGTTGATGTGCATTGTTACCAAGTAGTGAACCGTGTAGGATTCATATGCCCGATTTATGGTGGCCTGGCTATTCATAAGAACTTCATGTGAGTTGATTCTGCATGCGAAATAAATGTAAAGAAAGGAAAAATACCCTCAGTGTTTTCCTAATAATATTTATAAACTCTGATGTGTTTGACAAATTATATAATTGAGGGGAAAAATAGTCTCTTACTCTCTGGACAGAGGCATTCCAAGCATCTTTGTAAATGCTTATAGTACTCTACATCTTTATCGTAGCACTCTTTATGATAGCTGGTCATGTATCACGTTATGTTACTTCAGAAAATGCAGAATGATGCTCCTCTTCCTGCCCCCCTGCCCCCCCCCCCCCCCCCCCCCCTGCAAAAAAAACAAAAAAAACTTCTGCCATATCTGTATGCTGCGTGCTTGGACAGTGTTGCTATATGACTTCATCTCAGTTCAGAGTTCATGGGTAGTAAGCGCAGAACTTCTTAACATCCAGCTATTTTTGCTTTGGGCTCTAAAATTGTAGATAACCAAACTATTTCTGGAATTATTGCTAGAACAATTGAATTTATTGATATGTATTTGTTTATTAGTTAATTTTGCAATGTAAAGCTTAAATCCATACTACGTTATTCTGATAGAGTTGTTATGTTGTTCAAATGGAAGGCATCTGTTTCCATACTGTGGATTGAATACATGGCCTTAATTTTTTCAAATAGAAATAAGGAAAGATTTTTTTTTTTTTACCTGTTTTAAAGGAGCTATTTTTGTCACCAGCCCACACAACTGTTATACTTTAGCACTGGCCTTAGAGATTAGCACTTGAAATTTCTGTGTTTCTGCTATTATGGAAAACATAACTTATTCAAAGACTTCTTTCATATAAATAAGAGACAGAGATGCCATGGTATATTAATGAATTGGCTGAAGATCTCAGTACATGGCTTGTCATTGGTATGCTTTTTGTTCTTTCAGTTGAAGGTTTTGATATACAAAATCGAATGTTTCCTGTGCTGTGGACCTGTATCACCTGTACCATCTTGGTCATTTGAGACTATAGGTTGATTATTCTGAAAATAGAACTCATGTTGCTAAATAGAAGTATCCAAAAGATATTTTCCAAAACCGATTTTGAGAAGATGGGTTGTAATTGACTTCTGTCTGACCCATCCTGTCTGCTGTGAATAGAGGTACGCTCCCCTATCTTTCAGCAAAATTCAAAGTCTAGTAAACCTGTGTACAATATGTTGAGAACCCTGAAAGGATAGATTTGTGTCTTTTGTAAGCCAACAATCCACCCTACCTTGCTTCTACGTAGTATCCTCAGCTCCCTGGTAAATAATATGTGCCTTCTATCCTTGATTCTTTAGAGGCTTTTGAGTCTTTCGTTTTCAGGTGTAATCTGCTTTGAATAAATGACTGGGCTTCTTGAGTTAAATATGGGTGTGCATGTATGTACAGTTGCTCATATATATATATGTGATTATAGGGCAAAATTTGCACTCTGTTGTGTCTCTCAGATATACCAAGTGCGACTTCAAAGCACAGAAAAATGAGAAGAATTTTCTAGGAGTTCTCTTATTAAGGTGCCTTTGAAGCATAACTCGGTGATATGTGGGTTTGAGAATCAGCACTGTCAAATTTTCCCTTTTGTCCTTGAAATTGGCTTCTGGCACTGCGTTTTTATGTATTGAGCATTGCTTATGTACTGACTCAGGCTGACAGAATCTGGGTGAACGTTTCAAGGTAGTGAGTGGGAGTAGTCCACAAAGGCTATTAATAAATAACTGGATTACTGGCATGCTTACATCAGAGTGAGTTCTGAAAACAGAGTCAGCTTTAGTTTGAGTCTGTGAACTCTTTCTGATTTTAAAAAACAAACAAACAAAATATTTCTTAGTAATCCAAAACTCATTCATTCTAATTGCAACCTTACATTGCTCTGCAAAAGACAAGACCTCATGTGCCTCTTAAAAGTGAAAGCCATGAACTCTTTTTTTTTTTCTTTTTCTTTTTTTTTTTTTTTTTTAACATGTTTGGCGAGAATGTTAGTCCAAAAAATTGCTGTTTCTTTAGGTAACACTGTGGGACTGACAACAACTTAGGGACAGTCCTAAGGTATCCATGTCTAAACAGATAAATATTTAGTTTCAGCTTTCTTCTCCTTATTTCTTTAATATTTTGCTAAACTTGCATTCAATTTGAAGTGTAGTAACGCAAATGTAACTTCCTGTGTAAAATAATATATTGGAGACATCTGGTGGAAATATTGAATATTGCATGATGGCAATATTTGATGCTTGCAGTTTTTGAAAGTTATCAAAATTACGAAATTATTTTTTAGCATGACATTGCAATCTGAAATGAAACTCTGTCATCCTTGCATTTTTTTTTTTAATTTGAAATAAGCCCACAGATTTAAAATACCAACTCTATCTTCCTGTCTACCTAGGCAGACCAGTGCCTTATCATAATTACTGCTGAAATATTTTGCTTTTAAGGGAAAATTGATTGTTCAATGGAAGAAAAGATTGTAGTAGAACTCAAGTTAAAAATAAATCATGTCATAATTCCAGCTGAATTAATCCATTACTATGGTCCCTAATCATCACAAAGAAAGAAATGTTGCTATAGAAATAAATAAAAACTAACAAAAGGAATAGCAGCAGAATTTGGTTGTGTTCCATGCATGTAGGCTTTCGGTAATCCTCTAATAATGAAATCTTCAGATTTCATGATGAAATTCAGAGATACAATTCTCTTCCTGTTGTAGCTGGTGCATCCTTTCTTCATAAAAGGGCTTTAAGGTCTCTTTTACTTCACAGCTGGCAGCAATAAGGGCAGACCAGAGTCTCAGAGATTAAATTACTCACACTTCCTCCTCATAGGGGTGTTTTGCAAGTGGCAGATGTGCATTGGAAGGGAGGTGGATGAAGTACAATCAGTACAGGAACTATATATTTTAGGTATTAATATAGAGAAGCAGTTCTTGGTGCAGGGTTTGGAGCTCACAATTCCTTCTAAGTAAGAGTCTTAACCACTGATTTAGAGAGTCATGGGCACTGTTGCCTGCTCTTTTTGACTTTTGTTTTGCTTTGTTTTTTGAACTATTGTGTTACCAAGAGACATAATCTCATTTGGAAGAATGGGATAACCCCTAAATAGGCCAGTGTAGTTGGGTCACTCATCATTACAAGAAAAGGTGCTTTTGATCAAAAGAAAACCTTTGGCCATTTGAAAAGTTTCAGTGCTGCAAACAAACTCTTATAAGTGCCATGGGACTGAATAAGCAGTTTGAACTGAAATTTTGAGGCTCCTCATTTTAGATGAGCCTCTTGCATTCCTCCTCAAATTTAGGTCCAGCAAGCTACATCATTTATGTTGATCTCATATACATATATAAAATCTAACTAATAACATCATTTCAATTGGCTGACAGGCACTGCGGTACAGTTTCAAGAAAGAAGAATTGTGCAAGAACACTGGGTTTAATTTGCAGTAGATGACTGTGATCCTAATTCGACAAAAATACAAATACACAGTTGGAGTCCTATGTATACTGAAATGCTTCGCTGACTTGGATTTTTCTTGTTTGTAATTATGTTCTATCATATGTCTTTAGTCTATGGTAATAGAAATATTTTGCATTTAGATAGAATTTTGTTTGAGGACCTCAAAACACATTACAAAAGCAAGTAATTGCTGTCCTTACTTTGTTGCATTATAGGCAGGAAATTATTTTGGGAGAAGATAACTTTCCGAAGACCACACAGCAAACCAGCAGCTTTAATAGGGCTTAATACCAAGTTTGTGTGACCAAGTCCTGTTTTCCTAACTGGCTGGTGTCTTTTTCTTTTTCTAACCCATAATATTTTGTTTCTGTATTAATAGAAATTAAGTTGTTGTCTTGAAGTTATAAAATTATTCTAAATTACCAAAGCTGAAAAGAAAGAATCAGTGAGGCACGCCTTATATAAGAGATGCTTTATGTTCAGCTCTTTCTCCAAAAGCGAATTTTGGGGTAAGTCATCCTGTGGCATCTTCTTAGCCCAAGATTGTCACAGCCTGACACCCTGCCTGTTGGAAGAACGTTGAAATGTTTCTTTTTCTTGAAAGCCACATATGAAGTTGTATTTATAATGATTTGAAAATAGACTTTAAACTTTTTTTTTTCTAGCATATTTAACAGATTTTCTTTTACTCACAAAATGCTAACATAGCAGCAGTCTTTAATAAAGGTGATACCAGTATATTATTCTAGTTACAAATCTAGAACTTCATGGTATTTTCAGATATATTGTTATTTCATGTGCTTGAGTTGCTCTCAATATTACTTTAATGCATTATCAGTGTGAGTCCTATTTAATTGCTGCCTTTATTTACTAACTTTACCTTGTATTCAGTTAGTTTAAAAACTGTCATCCTGTAACAGCTATTATCACTTTATCAAACAGGTTTCATGAACTAGTAGGAGCACCATCTGGTGATTTTTCAAATTCGTGCACACAAACCTATGGTTAGTTAAAGTATTATCTTACACCTCCTTTTGTGAAATTATTCTTTTTCTTTTGTGGTCAAATACTTCAGCTTAGTTATTTCATTAACCAAAAACATGAAAGAGTGAAAGGACTTTTCAGATAGTAAAGAAATAATAGTAATAAATATTTGAAAGTACAACTATTTCTCCTGATAATTGCTTTGATTCCTTTATAGAATCTTGGCTTTCATCTCTCATCAAATCCCCCCTCGTTTGAACAACCAGTATTGCATTTGTCATTTTCAGTTAAGACTAGGGGTAG